AAGTGTTTATATGCATATAAAAATTTTCTTTAGTACATCAGGATAAAATGCAGAGCACTTGGTGGGAAAGAATTTGAAGAAGTACACATGCATCATTTGGGATGACAAGCAGAAACTAGAAGGTCTGAGTTCAAGTAAACATGATAGAGAGTTGGCATCAGCATGAAGCCACTGTACATCTGCAGTTACTTTTTCATTTCTTTTGCATTCCCTCAGTGTGCAGCAGAAAGGGATTTTGGTGAGTGCTCCCTGACAAACTCTAGAGCAACATCTCATGTCTGGAGAAGTAGATATTGAGGGTCTGGCCAGCTAGAAAAACTTCACTACAAAACTTTACAGAGTGACAGCAGAGACAAGTGATGGCGTGATGAGGCAAAACAGAAGAAGCTGAGAAGCCAGAACCAACACATGATTTCTGTACCAGCAATGCTGACAACTGGGGGATCTGAGCTGGAGCTTCATCCTGCCCTGAAAGGCTGAGAAACCCTTCCTGCTTCCCAAATACACCAAGTACTGAGCCATAACCCAAGTAGGAGAAATGCAATTTTGAGAACATCTGTTTACCTGTGCTTAAAAACCTAACATTAACATTTAGGCTTAAAAAATAAAAAAAGGGTAACTGCTGACCACATTTAAAATTTGGAAGTTATAACAAAACCATTTTCAGAACACAGTTTAAAAATGCTATTAATCAAAAAAGCTTTTTATTTACATCTGTCATGCACCATCATGTTCTGGGGATGCCTCAACACTGGCACAACTGCTGCTGAACATTATGACAAACCACAACATTCCAGAGTATGTACTTTGTCCCACTGGGGAAAAATTAAAATATAGTTGCTCTGGTTCTGACTCACATCAGATTTCACTCCTTCTGTAAATGAGTAAACAAAACTATATCGATCTTGGCTGTTACATTAGTCAAGAGATTTGATATTTCACAAGGGGCCCACACGTACAAACAAAAGAGGAAAAAAAACCCACATAATCTGTCAACTTGGCTATCAAGAGAGCTACCTCAAGTTTCTGTGGTTTGGGGAGGTATTTTAGTATTTCCTAACATAACAAAACATGATGGAAGAAAACTCCAAAGCACCTAAGTTTGGGTCCAGGCTCTTATGACACTAGACTATGACACAGATGCTCAACCCCAGCCCTTCACTTCCATCAGTCCTGAGTTTCTAATACATTTTTGTAATGATCCCCTTCAAACTTGAATGATGAAAGTGCACATTTTGCAAATGACACCTCAGCCAATCTGCCCCATCTACATGAACGACAGCAAATTATTTCACTCTTTAGGCTTTCAAAATAAAATGCACATGCGGCAAATTCCAAGCTGGCAGGAAAATCCAGTCATTAAAAAAGTGATTTGTTTTCTAGAATTGCAAACACAAAGGCTCCATTTATTTCCAATGCCATAAAGAAAATGAACTGTTATATTTTTTTTAAACAACCACAGCCCAGACATATTGGAAATGTTTTAATTTCAAAAATACTAACTGGCAAATTAGAGTCTAAATAGCTTCTCTAAAGTGGTACCATCTTATACACAGTTTTCAGATTTATTTCATCACTTTGCCCTGCAGGAGAAGGTTTTATCATCTTCTGCATAAACTGTAATGATGCCTATCTGTTGCTGGTGTCACTAAATTTAAGAAGAAACCTAAGATACGTGAATTTTAAGTAAAATTGTATACATTAACAAGAAAATATATAATACATCATGAGAGCCCCCCACCAAAAAAAAAATCTACATTTCTATTAAAATACTTATTGTCTCTATCATTCTGTCTTTCCTACTTTCTCTTCATAAAACAGAAGAATGGAAACAGAACAGCAAATTAAGAAAATAGCAAACATAATTGATATAGCCACATCCTAAGAAAGCTTGCAATCACTATCAACTTTACACTAAATGAGCTGCTTAATTGGACTCACCAGGACTATTCCCTATACAAAATGTAAGCACATGCATCATTCTTTCCAGGATCATGATTATGTAGGGGTTATCTGTAATGAAAATAAAACTACCTCCTTTCCCCCCCCAAACTTCTCAATCTGCACTTTTTTTTGTGGCTATAGCAGCATCTGGTGGACAAATAGTAAAACGAACATCTGGCATATGATAAAAATATATGTATTTTAAAATATAAATTGCTTTAATTGCTCTTTCTTTTTTTAAAGTTAAAAAGAAAAAAAAAACCAAAAAATCCAGTTTAGATAATCCTTAATAACTTTAAGGTTATTACATCTCTTATAAATGCTTTTTATCCTTACCTTTTCCTCCCTCATTGGACCTCTCAGCTAAGTGCTTGTGTACTATGAAGTGCTGGTCATAGTCTATCAGTGAACACAGGCCCACTTTGACAAAAATGTACAAATACCTCATAAACACAAAGTCTGCACAGTTAAGCAGTTAAAAAATTAGAACCTATCATAAATAAAGTTTTAAAGTTATAGCTAAGAGAACAAAACAAATTCCTGCAGGTTTTCTCTCAACAGAATCAAAGACTAAAAAGAACTCCGATCCCTAAAATAACCACTGAAGGGCAAGTTAGCATGCTGGGGTAGCAGTCAGACATTTTTTCCCGCTTCACTCATCTCTCCTATGCTTTGTTCTGACTTTCACGTAATTGCTCTCTCCTCTTTCATATTCCTTTCACTAAAATATCTGCCCTATAGGAATATCTGTTTAGAACCTGAAAAAAAGTATTTAATGATACGAGTCAAATACAGCTGTAACTGTATTCGCTAAAATTGCTCGCTGCTGAAGTTGTCTTGAAGTGAATCCCAAAGGGCTAGAAACATATGAATATATTGGTTAAATTGACAACTTTCTCCTCCAAGTGAAAGAGGAGCCAACAAGGAGAGGGGCTATGCTGGACCTTGTTCTCACCAACAAGGAGGGGCTGCTGAGGAATGTGAAGCACAATCGCAGCTTTGGCTGCAGTGACCAAAATATGGTGGAGTTCAAGATCCTTAGGGCAGCCAGGAGAATGAACAGCAAGCTGGCTTCCCCAAGCTTCAGGCAAGAGGATTTGCATCTCTTCATGGATCTTTAGCCTGTGGGAGAGTACCATAAGATAAAGCCCCAGAGGGAAGAGGCACCCAAGAAGGATGGCTAATTAGTCAAGGATCACCTCCTCTAAGCTTAGGAGCAATGCATCCCAACAAAGAGGAAGTTGGGCAAAAACGTCAGGATGTCTGCATAGATAAGCAGCTCCTGGGCAAATTGCAACATAAAAGACAACCATGCAGAGGACAGGTACTTTCCTACTTACCAGCAGAAAAGCTGTCACAGCACATGTCACAGCTGAGACAACCACGATACACAGAGTATCACCATACAATTTCAGACAGCTTCAACCCACACAGAATAACACCATAACACAGCAGACGGCTTCAAGCACCTGCCCTTCTTATTCTTTAGCCCCACCTTTTATACCCTCATGCTGATGCACTGCACCTGTGTGCCCTCTGCTCCCTTTGGTGGTTGGTCACTGCCCTGGGCACTCCAGGGCTCATTGCTGTCAGTGCTGCTCACCTGCTGCTCACAGCTGCACCCATTGGGGATGAGGCTCAGCCACAGCCCCACTCCCAGTGACCACAAACTGTGCAGCTACAGAAAGTAGCATAGCCAACACACACAGCCACACACAAAAATATTCTGAATTTACACAGACCAGCAGCTTGATTCAGGTATTGCTTTTGCTAACAAACACAACATCCCTAAAGCTCCAAAATGAGGGACTTGCCAAAACCTCCTTGAAGTTCATTACGGTTGTTTGCATTTTACACAGCAAGTGTAACTACAATACAAGGTAGTGTCCTCTTAGGCACGCAGACAGAAATTCAAAGAAATTTTGGTGAGAAGAGGCAGGGTTCTGGATACAACCAAAGTATCTGTGGAAGACATCTGCAGTCATCCACCAACTCCAGGATCATTCACTGGGACACTGTACACACCAAGCTTTGTCAACTGGTCACTTTCAGTGACTTTAAAAGCCTTGACATAAATACCTATGAGACTCACATTTCTTACTTGTAGAAGATACCTCTGAGGTGCTGAAAACTTACAAGCATAGATAGGAAATTGACTTGGAAACCAAAAAGAAGCAATCTAGTGCAAGCATCTCTGTACCTGTACATAAGACATGTACAACAAGCCTTGTAGGGGTAATAATTTTCATTTAACCAGGTAATATAACCAACAGGCAACTTTTTGGGCACAAACCCCCCTCTCTCATGAATGAGAAGTAGGAAGAACATTTTTGAAGACTAAACACAAATTACTACTGTAGTTGGGATTCTAATCACACATGGGCTACTAAGGCTGTTCCCCAAGGAAAGAGTCTTGGTACCTGTCTAGAAGGTGCTAGGTTAATATGAGAAAAAGGCCGTTATGTGCCAAGGGGGAAGTCTGATGTATGTTTTATTCCGTGGAATACCAAGCAGCTAACAGGATGGAAAAAAATTGTCATACCTCATTTCACCCCTAGCGGGGTACACCTGGCTGACTTGCAAACTGCATTTCCCCGACTGGTCTTCATAGGTGTCCCTGGAAGCTTTTACTCTTTCACCAGCACATCCAGGTGTCCAGCTCACATGTAACCCTGCCAGAGGCAAGACCTGCTGCCCTTGGCCTTGCTGCTCTCATGTTCGAGGGCTCTGCTGATGTTCATGACATGTGTTTTACAACAGACACACACACGGGCTGTAGGAGCCATGTGTTCTTTATTCCTTAGCATTCTTTGCCTGCAGTCTGGCAAAGCGCAGGCACTGCACCCATGGAGCCAGGCCAGACTTAGACGGGAAAGGTGCCCAGGGACAGACTGTTTAAATGTAATTTTAAACTCTTCTTGTTTTATTTTCCCGCTCAAACTCCGCGTCCAGCACCCTCCACGTGCGCTGACCGAGGCACGGCGCCGCCGGTGCCCGCCCACAGCCGGGCGGAGGCCGGGCCCCGGCTTCGGGGCTTCCGCCCGGCCCGGGGCGGAGCCGGCTCCGTCCGCCCGCCCTTCCCGGATCCCGACATGGCGGAGTATTCCTGCGTCAAATCCACCAAGCTCGTCCTCAAAGGCTCGAAAGAGAAGAGGTGAGGAGCGGGCTGCCCGCCGCGCCGCCCCTGCCCCGCGCTGCGGCAGCCGCCGGGGCCCGCACCGCCGCGGGGCCGGTGTAGGAGGCCGGGCAGGGATGAGGCCGGGCCGGCCCTGCTCTTCCCTTCCCTTCCCTTCGCTCCGGCCCGGGGGCTCGGCAGGGCTGGGGCCGGGCTGGGCGCCGCAGGGTTCCGGCCGGGGTCAGGGAGCGCTCCCGCAGGGCCCGGCCGTGAGGCCCGGCGGGACAAGGGCCGGGTCAGCGGCTCGTTCTCACTTCTTTGCATCTCCCCTTGCAGCAAGAAAAAGCACAAGGAAAAGAAAAGGAAAAGGGAAGAGGATGCGGCGGAGCAGCTCGATATTGTTGGTGAGCTGCTTTCCAGGAGTTATGTGGCAGTGCGGAAACTGTAGGGGATGTGCCAGAAGCTAACGGGGTCGTTACCGGACTTGGTAAAGCAAGTGTAACTGCTGTAGAAATATATAACTTTCTCACAACATGTCATTTGTGTCTTGGAATCTTTCTCGATTCCACACAGAACTTGTGACACCAATAGAATGGATTCAGTTTTTTATAAGTAATAAAAAAAAAAAAACATTACTATCTTAATGAGCTAGGAAATATTTGTAAGACAGTATACAAAGAGAAAACTTTACCGTTCAAAAAATGTAAAAGTCATAATTCTAAGTCATGCACATGGGAAGGGCTTTAACTTTGGTAGAATTCTGTAGGAGTCAAATGTTCAAATCCAGATTGGTTTGAACAACTGAGGTCTAAGGATTACAACTTACATATTTAACAGCAAGATTAAGTAGTATCTCTGATTCTCTTGTGCCGGAGAATCTTATAAATGGATATGACTCCAAAACTGCAGGAGACAGATCCAGAGGGAAAAAATCTTTTTCTTGTGAAGTGTGTCTTTGCTGCATCAGCTGAATGAATCAGCTTGGTCTCTGGACTAACGCAAAGAAGGGATGAAGCACAGGAGCTTGGAGCTAGGGATGACAGCTGGTCAAAGAGCTGGACTTCCTGAGGCAGCAGCAGCAACGCCATTAAATTGGCTCTGGACTATAAAATAATGCACGAAGGTTATGAGATAGCTATCTTTTGAATTTAAAATTTCAGAGAAGACGCAGAAATATAACCTCTTTGGCTATTGTAATCAAAAGTTGTGGTTACTGTGTTAATAAACTGTTATGGTTTTATATTACAGGAAACTGGTGGGCTGTCAGTAATTTTGGTGAAATTACAGGAACTATAGCTATAGAAATGGATAAAGGAGCTTACATGCATGCCCTCGACAATGGCTTGTTTACACTTGGAGCACCACATAAAGGTTTGTTCCAGGAAATTTGAAAATAATAGATTCTTAATCATGAAGTGCCTAAAGGCACAGAACTAGCATCACCTCAAGGCAAGCAGTGTTACAGCTAAAACCAGTTTACTACAAAAAATGCAGTAATTCTAGCTGAAGCATGCAGATGACTTAAACCTAATGACTGCCAATCAGTTTCACTCATCTAGTTTCATGCTGGCTTATGTGTGCAATAAATTGAACTGCACTGGAGATGATTACCTGTTAAAGGCCATACTTGCTGGATAAAAAGCAGTATAATTTTTATTAAAACCTATAAAGTGTTTATGGTGTCACTTGAAGAGTGAAATTCAAGGTAGATGAGTTTTAATGCTTATTGCTGCATCCTTGTCATAATATACTTGTTTTGTCACTGCACAAGAGAACTACCAATGTGCTGGGATAATTAGCTCGTTCTTTGAATTTGAGGGCAGTGACTCTGACATGGACTGTTCCAGAACCCTGACAGTCTGTGTGTGTTTCATCTCCAAACAGAGATCAGAGCAACAATGGCCATATTCTCTTGTTTTGGTTTTGAGGGATGGAGAATCCAGTAGCTTTTAGGATACTGACTTGAGTTACCATAGCTGAACCATAATGCATTTTGTTATCAAAGAAATAACATTACAAGGAGATTAAAGTACTCAAAGCCACCAGGAAAATTACAAAACATTCTTAATTATAAATTTCTTTAACTTATGATAATCTTTATTTTGTGCCTTGTTTTAAGCATTGTAAATATATGAGCATAAATGAGCACCTGCATTGCTTCTTTAAAAGTGAGTACTCAAAAAGGAATTTTTAATGAAATAAATATTTTCCATAGTATTTAGAAATAGTCAATGTTCAATTCTTTTTGATACTGCAGTATTAGTAGGCTAATACATTTTATGTTTATACTTCATACTTAACTAATGGAAAATTCATTCCTCAGGTGATGAAGGCCCTAGTCCTCCTGAGCAGTTTACAGCAGTTAAGTTATCGGATACAAGGTAATTACTGTAATGTTTCAAGTTTTGATACTTGTTATCTTTGGATTTTGTGAAAAGGCATTTTAATACTCTTTTTGAAATACATTGTCTTTTACTAAAAGTGTCGGTGATGTTTTGGGTTTTGTGAATGCATTAATTAAAAACGCTCCTTGTTTCCTATGTTTTCTCTTTGAGGATTGCTCTCAAGTCTGGTTATGGCAAATACCTTGGTATAAACTCAGACGGGCTCGTTGTTGGACGTTCCGATGCAATAGGATCAAGAGAGCAGTGGGAACCTGTCTTCCAAGATGTAAGCTCTTTGCAATGGTTTATTTGATGTTGCTAGTGTTTGATTGTATTTTGAGATCGGTATTTTTACTATGAAGTTAAAGCCTTTTGCAATCTCTTTCATATTGTAACTTATGATTTTCCAACTGCAATGCATTTACTGTAATTGAAAGTTTTTTAAATGCTTCAATTGCTGCATTTTGGCAGCTATAAGCATCTTAAAAATGAAGGAGTCAGCAAGTCTGGCTAGCTAGTGAAGTATCCATCCATAAAAGAATTATTTACATGGATGTTTGGCATATTGTAGAGGATAAATTGTTACAAATCAAGGATTATATACAACCTCATTATACTTACAGTGTGTGATATTGTTTCTGCAGAGGAAAATGGCATTACTAGCAGCAAACAGCCGTTTTATCAGGTGTAATGAGGAGGGGGACATAGAAGCCAAAAGCAAAACTGCAGGGGAAGAAGAAATGATAAAGGTAATCTATAACTTCTACAATCTACAATTAATACAGGATTGGCAGGAATCGAACTCAAACAAGCAGGTGTCTGTGTGCTATGATTTTCTGTTAATACAGTTATAATTGCTTCCTATCAGCTGTCAAGTGATCTGGCCACAAGAAGGGTAAATGATTTCCAGGGCTGTAATAATTCTCAGTACCTCCTGTAGAGATAAGAAGATACTTTACCACTCAGGAGGACAAAAGAGTCTATGTGATCTTCCAGGTACTTCTAAACAGCTTGGGACAGAAGAAGGAATTATGACCAAATCAGGGACAGAGAAGGGTTTACCAGAATGATCCAGAAGGGGAGATCTTTCAAGAGAATCTGAAAAGACTATCTTGACTTTATCTGAGCATGGGAAATATATCTCTACTTTTCAAGTAGAGATAGGTGTCTTAACTAGTCAGAGCAGCAGTATTTTAAGTCAATCTCTGAATTGTCCCTGCCAAAATTAAGAACTGTAGTAGTGCTTCTTTGAGATAAAGGCAGTTATGTCTAATATCAAGGATTGCACTTAACCTTTCCCATATTTCAGGCAGCTCTTACTTTTGCAGTTGTTTCTGGTTAACCAGTTTGAAAACTGTGAACTTGAGAAGTCACTGCGACTCTCGTTCTGTTACAAAGGATATGTAGTCATCTTTCAACTGTAACTTACTGTTTTTAAAATACAGGTGTTTTCTGTTGTGTTTTGGTTGTTTTTTCATTTTTCTTTCAATTATTAGATTCGTACTTGTGCTGAAAGAGAAGCTAAGAAGAAAGATGACGTTCCACAGGAAGACAAAGGAAACGTTAAACAGTGTGAAATCAATTATGTGTATGTACTTTAAAGCTGGTAACAGGCTCAAGTACCTTTTTTTGTTTCTGACTGGGGCTGTCTTTGGGCCCAAAGCCCATCCAGCCTTTCACTCTCTTTTCATTAGCAGGACAAGGGAAGAAAACAGGGTGAGGTAGCTCATTGCTTGAGATAAAGGAGAGCTGCTGTACCAGATACTGTCCAAGGGTTAACTGTGAATGATTAGTTAAATTTATTTTCTTTTCATTGCATGTAGATTCTGAGAGACAAAAATTAAAAACACCACCTTTCTTTCTCCTATCTCAAGCTCAGCTTCTCTCCAGAGCTTCTACCTGCTCCACTAAGCCAGATGGGCTGTAGGTCAATACACAGTGGTTTCTTTCAGCCACTCCCTTCCTTTGCTGCTTTTCCCCTGCTCTGGTATGGTCTTATTCATGGGCTGGAAGGTAATATTTGGTCCAGTACCTACAGCATCTCCTTCCTCTCCTTCTCTGTGCTTGATGTTCCCGCTGCCATTTTGCACTTTTAGGTTTGGTTTTTTTTCCTTCTCTGCCTGTGTGGCATTTTGCTTTATCTTAAATCTGTTTCCATGGGAGTGCCACCTGCTTTGCTGGTGGGTTTGGCTGTGTCCTGTAGTGGATGTCTTGAGAGCCAGCTCTGTCCAGCGCAGGTCAGCCCCTGACCTTTTCTCACAGAGAAAACACCTGCAGTCAGCACCTTGCAACTACATCCAGTACACTTTTGCTCCCTGATTTCTTATGCTAGTAGTTAAATAAGGGGCTCTTTAGAATTTGTAACCACTTCATGCTAGACACATAGGGGCTCATTCCTACTTAGACTGCCAAAAAAAGCAAAACCTGAATAGTTTTCACCTACAGAAGCCTTAGTGCAACCTTAGTACTGGGATGGTTTGCTGGGTTTTATTAGGTCCGTTACCTGCTGCTTTAATAGGAGCTAAGATTCTTAGCACAGCTGCTGTTGTGTTGGGAAACAAAAAAATTTAAAAGCTTCAGTTCTTTACTACTTTTCTCTTCTTCCCCCTTACAGGAAGAAATTCCAAAGTTTTCAAGACAAAAAGCTTAAAATAAGCAAAGAAGATACAAAAGCCCTTAGAAAAGCCAGAAAAGAAGGCACTTTTCATGAAATGCTACTTGACAGGTACTTCAAAGTGCTAGAAATAATGTATTGATTAAAAAACTATTGGGAGATGCACATATGGTAAATCCTGGGGTACAAAAGAGGGCTGGATTTCAGGGACATAGGTTCCTGAGCATTTTTCCCCTGGTGAGTGTTGTCCCTGAGTCCTGGGGCTTGCCACCTTTTTTTTTTTTTTTTTTTAATCTGGATTTTCACTTCTTTAGCTGAAGCTTGCAGGTTTGAATTTACCTGTAAATTAATTCTTTTGAAAATCTTTAATCCCTCAACAACTCGGAACTAAACAAACTGAACAATCTAGTTAATCTTTTTAATTGTGAAAATTGAGCTAATTTTTAACATTTTTCAATACCTATGGTACCAGAATATTTTGGAGAGGCAGAAGTTGAATTTTAAAGAGAAATAGTGTTTATTAAGAACAGTCTTCATGTTATCTAGTGGGAATTTTTTGTCCTGCTAAACTAAGACTGTAGAAACCATGTTGAATTTTTAAAGCCTTTTATGTCAGTATATAGTATAAATATTTGCATTAATTCAGTGGCTGGAATGCAGAAAACTATTTCTGATAATTACAAGTAATGTGAGAACACTCCTGGGTTCTCACAGGTGGTCAGCTTCAGATCATGCTGAATGTGAATTCCATTCCTCAGAGGAGACAAAATGCAATTATGATGATTTGAAGAGAAAGTCAAGGTTAACTTTAGTCAGTTAACTTAACACTGCAGTTCTACCTCCTTAGGAGAACAAAGTAAATTAACAAATCCAAAGTGTTGTTAGGCCTTTATATGTACTTTGAAGCAAAGTTCAAGAAAAATTACTTTTAATACATTCTTAACACTTTGAGGCAGATAAAACACCCAGGTGTAATTGTGTTTGGTCTTAATCTAAATCTTGTTTCATTCACTTTTCCCATACAGGAGAGCTAAAGTGAAAGCAGATAGATACTGCAAGTGACATCCAGCTGGCCCATTTTCTTCTGCAACTTTCATGGCAGCATCAAATTGAAAAAGAGTAAAATATTTTATAGGTGTTTTTTATTTAAAGCATTTTTTAAGTATCTTGAGGAATTGTATTAAAATTTTCTCAAATATTAATAATCCAGTTATCTTGTTAACTGTATAATTTGTGAATACTTGGCTTGTATGAAGGGAATGGCTCCAACAAAAATTAAAGGTAAATCAATTAATAATGGTAAGTTATTTGCCATGTAACTTAAGCTCTGGGAGACAGACTGTGCACTGATTTAGTCCAGAGAGAAAGCTCCCTGACTTTTAGTTGCTTTTAGGACAAAATTTAGAAATAAATAGATTATTGTATGCAGATGTTCCTGGCCAGAGTCAGGAATTCTTGGATAAAAATGCAGCAATAGCTGTGAGGTGTGCTGTGGCAGAGAGGGAGAAAAAAAGTTACTGATTTTACTCCTTAGTTTGGCCTAGGACTGGGGATTAGGGCTCATTAAGTCATTGTTAATGAGCCCTAACCCATTGTTAGTGGGGTTGTAGGTACCCCACTACATATCCCTCCCTAGAAATGTGACTGATGTACAACAAGCCATTGGAATATCACAGTGCTGCTGTGGCCTGCTGCCAAAATTACACTCAGAAACACCAGGAAACAAACAGCACTGCAAGGAGCAGGCTGCAGCCCAGAGTAACTATGTATTGGAAGTTCAGTGCATGTCTCATTGATCCACAGTCCCTGTGAAACTTAAATACATCTGAAGTGAACACTGATGGTGGAAGTAGATTGATATTACAGCATCTGTATTTCTTTCAAGAATATATTGTTTGAATAAAGACTCATAGAACCCACAAAAACAGTTACTCAGATACACCTGGAAGCAGAGGTATATGCTCTGGTGGGGAAGGGTGCTGAAAGGACTGCTCAGCAGCAGAATAAGAACCTGAAAATTACCCTGATAGGGATTTTCCATTTCATATTCGTGTAAATAGAAGAATACAATGTGTTGCAAGTAGCTATAAGTGATAGTAAGGGAATAACAGAACTTTTATGTTTGTCACAGGTGAGTAAGTGAAGTAAAAAGCAGTGGCAGAGCAAATGAAATGGGACTGTCCCTGGTAGGAGAGGAAGTACTAGACTTGGCAAGGGACTGGCAGCCTTGCAGAGAATAAGGGTATTTTAGTAACAATGGGGTTGCCCTGTATGTTGGGACTATGATACACTAGAGTCTTGAGAAAATGTTCTGAGATAGCACAATAGAACAGGGATCTGGGGAATTTACTGGAAATCTAGGCTCAAGACAGTGAAATCAATGGTATAACAAAGCAGTGAAGATCAGTGTATTTATTTAACTGTTGCTCTAAGCAGTCTTTTTGGAGGTTTTCCCAGTGGAGGTATTCATGGAGTCATCTTGAAGACACTACATCCTGACAGTAGTGTTAACACAAGGAGCTTTAATTTAACTGAAACAGAAAAAAGGGGGAAGTAATTTGGGCAGCCCCTACTTAGGGGGGAAGGAACAGATCTGCAGAGTGGTAATACAGTACTGGATATGTACTGAATATGAGAGAGCAGAAGGGTGGCCATAAGTGCTAAGTTTCAGTGAGACCAGCTGTTAGTACAGTTAGCAGGCTGACTGTACATCTTAAGAAGCATTTTCCTTCTTGGATTTTTAAAAACTGACAGAAGAAACCTAGACTAACCCAGCCTAAGGTGCTGGTGTGGACCCTGAAGGCAAGGCATTGTGATAGGAATACAGCAGAGCAGCCATAGTCAGAGAAGGTGACTGGTGCTGGAAGGTAACTGTTGCTTAAACTGAGAATTTCTTTACCAGTGAAAGAACTATACCAGAATCAAAAAGAGGCCTCAAAAAAGTACACTGTGTAATGTGACAATGACATAATTTTGTCTTCAGAGCATTTAGAAAGAGATTTTAATTTTCTAAAGTCATTGTTTATTTCCTCCTGTTAAAAACGTACTAAAGATGGTAAAGCATCTAAACAAAGATAATGAAGTCCCTAACAGCTGTTCACCCCAGATATAAAAGATGACCAAAAGATGTTCAGAAAGTAGCAGAACCAACTTAATCAGACTCTTTCTTATCATAGCCCATAATAGTATATTCAGATATCTGGAATTAGGATTATTGTTATACATGTATTTATTTTCAACTGAAAATATTTTCCAAACCCTATAGAAACTGCTTGATGTCCTGTTTTTAAAGAACACTCCCATGAAAATCTCAAGGTTTGTCCTGTTACACTGTAATTTTCCTCAGTTTCCAAATCCACAGATTGATCCTGTTGTGATCTTCTTTCACCTGTGCTGAAATGTTTTTATGCCTTGGTCTCTAGAGCTCTGCGCAATTCCCAGCTTCTGCTCTGAGCTGGCTCCTTACTACACTGTTGCATGCTCTCCTCCCAGGGCTTTCCCACACTACAATACATTTTCTATCCTTTCCTCTTTCTTAATTTTTGCAGTTCCATGCAGCTTTCCAATCAACTGTCTGCCAAGGACTTCCCTTATTTTTCTTGCCACCCCCACTTGGTTTTGTAAGAGAGTTAATTGCACAGGCAGTTAAGTCACGATGTAGAGACTGCATCACTTCTTTTCTGTGTGCCTAAAAACACGTGGCATGGCTTAGGCATTGCACAGAGCACATGAGACAGGCTAAAACACAGGCATCCTGGAAGGGTTTGAGTACTTTTTCATGGTGCTTCCACCAACTGTTGCCAGTGTACACACTCATGAAGCATTCATTTGCTCACACTACAGTGATAATGCCCATACTAAGAAGACCGTACACACCTAATTTGGATGCTGATTTCTACTTGTTACAAGAGCCTGGTCTAGTGGAAGGTGGCCCTGCCTATAGCAGGGGGCTTGGAACTCGATGATCGTTAAGGTCCCTTCCAACTCACACCATTCTCCAATTCTATGAAACAGATACCATTTAAACAACAATTAGAAGACAGGGCACTTATAGATGGATGCATCTCATACCCTGTGTTTCTCATTAGTCTGTCTCCCCAGTTGCCCACTTCCTGCACTCCTAAGCTGCAAGATGGAGAAAAATCCTTCTCAAGAACATGCCTGCCTGGCATCTTTCATTACCACTGATGCTCAAAAGATAGGCAGGAAATAAATCCCCATGGACCGATATCTGTAGAGCAGGTATTTGTTTGTTGCAGCGCTGGTGGTGAGATGAATATCTCCTCCTAACTCACCCACCCATGTCAAGTGCTGTGGTGTATTTATGCAGTAAGTATTGTTTAGTATTGCTATGTCACTACAACATCATCATATACATGCTGGAACTAATTTACATAGTCTGATCTCACTTTATTAGATCGTTCTTTTGCACTGCACTTGCGTCTCCCCAATTCAGGGGTTGTTGGGGGTTTTTGATGAAGGCTTCCAAGGTCTTCTTCACATCTGAACTTTTCAACTTTGTCTTCAGAGCATGCGCAGTTACGGTGTTCCTTGTCTGTCTGGTCCCAGCCAGTCTAAATTCTTTATTTTGTGGCTAATTGGCTTTACATTTGCCAATTTTTTATTAGCACTATACTTACCTCCTATCCACCTGGTGAGTTTTTTCTTAATTTTTTTTTTGTCTGTTCAGTATTAAGCAACTACTTAACCATATACCAGCCATTACATTGTCTAGAAAGTAATTTTATACCTATACTTTATATAGGTATAAAAAGCTACGATTCAGGTTATCTTATAACGCAAGCTATATAAGCACCTTGTAACTTTGACCTGAGTTATATAGGCATCAGCACACACCCTACCTAAAATCCGCACAGGACACAGAGTCATTAAAAACCGCACTACTGCCAAAGTGAAAACTGGTGCCACGGGTTTTCTCCCAGCGTTGCCAAAGAGAGGCGATTCTATTTCAGACTCTCCTGTGCGGAAGTTGCCATTTGTGGAAGGGCGACTGAAAATGAACTGCTGAGCTTCACCATAACTGCACGGGCGGGGCCGTGCCGTGCCGTGCCGGGCTGGGTCGGGCAGTGCCGTGCCGTGCCGGCGCTCCCGCCCCCGGCGGGCGGGGCTCTGTCATGTGGCCGCGGCTCCGGGAAGCGCCGCTCGGAGCGGAGCCGGGCAGGACCATGGCGGGCCGGGCGCTGCTGGCGCTGCTGGTGCTGGCGCAGCCCGCCTGGGCACCGGACCCGGTGAGCCTGGCGGGGGACGGCCAGGGGTCGGCGGGGCCGGCGGGAGCGGATCGGCCCGGGGCAGGCGGGGGGGATGCGGCCGCCGCCCTTCCCGAGGCGGGAGGCCGGGCGAGGCTCGGGATCCACGCGTGTGGGTGCGCGGCAGCGCCTCGCTGCTCCCACGGGCTCCCCGGGCCCGGCAGGGCTCCTGCGGGAGCGGCTGTGCGAGCCCTTGCTCGCTGCTGCGCTCGGTTCTGTAGTGTCAGTGTCGCCCTGCTGCACCGCAGCGGCGATCTCCAGAAGCGAAGTTCCGAGGGGCTTGCTGGAAAGGCGCACGGTTGTGAATGTGCTGAGTGTGTGCGCTGTGGCTCAGCGAGGGGAGGAGCGTGGAGCAGGTGGACTTGGTGCGTCCTTTCTTGCTCTGTCGGCCGTTTGGGCATTTTGAACTGAACAAATGAAATATTTAACTTCTGGTAGAATTGGGAAGCTGGGAATGCAGGGATAGTCGTTTGGAGCAGGCTGGCTTCCATCTCCTGGGCATGTAAACAGTTGCTCTTGTTTCCTGGTGTAATCCTGCAGCAGCGAAGCATTCTTTCGTCTCTTGAAGTTCCTAAATTTATTCGTCCTCTATGAAGAGAACAGGTTTTAAATATCTCTGGGTTTCAAAATATTTTTTGCAATCTATTTTAAGTGTTTTAAGAATATACTACCTCTTTTATTCTTTACTTCGCTCCAAGTCTTTTTTTTTTAGCAAATTGCATTGATTTTGGGGAAATTATTGTGGTTTTTGTGAAAGGGGAGAGCTGCAGGAAATTACTATGGACATCTGGATGGCCAGTGTTCCCTTAGCGTCTTTTAATACATAGGATTTGGCTTTTCTCTCTCCCCTTCTTCCCTTCTTCCAATCCCATCCTACCAGCCAAGAGCAACTTCCTAATGCTATAAGCTATCTCCAGCTTAAAACGCCTTCAGAATTTTAGCCAAAAGTATCCTGGAGTGTGGGGTTGTAGGAGAAAGTGCCAGCTGTCAGCAAAGTAGTAGCATGAGAGCTTGATTTGCATGTGATTTCACTTGGTACATCCTTGCACTTGCACAGTATCCGCTGTGTGTCCAGGTTGTGCTGCTGTGCAGCCAGGTATTAGGCTTGGATATTTTATTTTTGTTTGAGATGCAGGGTTGCATCACATGCTGAAGAATTCTTCCTGAGTGCCGCTGGGTTCACCTCATTTACAAAGAGCACAGAAGAAAAATTGCCTTGAGTTGCATCTCAGAGGGGCAGACTGTCAGTCCCTTCAGCCTTCCCTGAGGCTCCCTCAGCCATGCT